CCTTTTTTTCCAACCTGCTCCATTATATTTAAAAGACCGTTCTTAGCAACATTTCATAAAAGAGACAAGAGTTTAATAATTTAGATATTAATCTAAAGCCCCTATCTTAGTTCTAAAATCAGCTTTTCCAATTTACCAAATGACTTCCAAAGCCTTGTGTTTGCCTGAAAAATATGTCCCTTCTTAAAGATAAAAAGAACACACTATTAATCTTTTATGTATAATATTCTTGTATCTGTGACTGCTAAGCCAGTTTATAATTACAGTATTATTTAGTGATAAAAGGATTTTCAGGGTATTAATATAATCTATTTTGCACTTAACATCAGAGAAGTCAAAAAACATTTTGGGAAAAAGCAGCAGAAATTTAAATTTAAATTCAATGCATAAGGGGAAAAGCACTAGAAGGGCTGTAATTCACCATCCTATACAAGGCATGATGGTTAATACTGGTGTTAATTATTAATTAAAAGGCATCAAAGTTCATTTCAGGATGTTTTTGACACGAAACTTACCTGGCTCTTCACTTGGAGTTCCAGTTAAGGTGCAGTTGGATCTGCGAACCCTCAGAGTTATACAACCATTTTCATGGAGGCAAAACAACCCATCCCTCTGGAAACAAGGAATCACCTGCACAGACACACACATTCTGTTACAGTATCCAAATATGAACCTTTGCAAAGGGCAAATACAACATGCAACTGCTGATGTATAAGCAAGTCAAAAAAGATGTTACCATTAACGCAACATTTCCAGGATTTTTTTTTTAGCTGTGGGACTTGGGGCTGAGGAAGTCAATTAATGTGGAAAATCAACTGAAAGGTTTGGTTTGGTTTGCTGGTTCAGAGGATGGTTTTCCCCCGAAGAACTAACATACTTTCATTCTCTAAAACTAACCAAACACAACTATCAGCAGATCATCAACCCATCTGCGATGATAATAAACTATTTCAGTGATAAAACCCCATCAAATCTCCATTACCTGGATGAAAGGCACACCTGTTCTTTCAATGGCAATCACACCCACGGTCTGATTCACTTCCAAGTCCAGGATCAGGATCTCTCTGGGATACAATAAGAGCATGTAGTTCCTCTTGGAAGGCAAATACGACAACTGGAGACAGTCGTTGAGGGTTACAGATTCAGCGCTGCAAAATGTCAGACGTAAACATTGATCAGGTTGTGTCAAAATAAAATTAACGGCATCACTTTTCCTGCAGCTGCATTTTTTGTGCAAGTAACCCCTATTTTGATCACAGGGCAACTGCAGATTTCCATTTAACTGTTACAGCATCACTGAGTTCCACAAACACATTCTGTTGGCTTTTGTCCGAATGAGATTATAGAGTAATTTTAAAAATAGCATTTCATTCAAATGGAACAAGTGTAACTCTTGCACACCTCCCACACAAAGCAATTCACTTAGGAACAGTGCTTGGCTGCCCTGACATTTACTGACATTCATGGGAAATTACCCTCAAACATATTGCCCACTCCAGTTTTTATACTGTTATGCATATTTCTTTGTTTTGAAATGATCTGAACCAGTATATCAAGAATCTCAGTCTTCAAAGCTCAGAGAAAGTAGCAAAGAGCAGGAAAGTTCATCATTTTATGAAAGGTGAACAGGGGATTAAATGCAACATAAAGGGGTTCCTCAGGGACATGGAATATAATGAACTTGGGTCCTGTTGATAAAAATCATCCTCATCCAGTGCTCAGTTTCCAAAGCCTCTCAATTCATTTTATGGATGATCCCTTTGAGGGCTTGTGTTAGTTTTTAATCTCCTCATTCCACCACACACTAAACCTCTTCACACACTTCCTGCACCTCATTCCTTGCTTTGGGACACCCTTTTGTCTGCACTTCCCTGACAATCTCCTGCTTCTCTTTTTCCTCAGAGCTTTTTCCCTAAACTCATCTAAAACCCCACAAATCTGAAAATGCAACAACTTAAGTTTCAGAAGGGCAGAAAATATACAGAGAGGAATGCAATCCATAAATTCTGATTTCATTTGTACACTAATCATTTAGAAAATGCCTCCTGCTGCAGTATCGTGTACAGCATTAGAATGACAACTCTTCTCAGGTACCTGCATAATTTTTATTCTCTAGCTGTATCACTCCTCAATCCACAATCAAAATGAATTATGGCAGCCCATTTTCATCTTTTTTTTTTTTTCCCCAATAAGAAAGCTGTTTCTGAATTTACACCTGCATAAAACTCTGTCAGCAAAAGGAGGAAATGATGTCATTTGACTTCTATAAAACATGCTGAGATAATATGGCTGTTTTTATGAGCAGAACTGGATGAGAATGTTCTGTTCCTAAATATTACTCTCCCATAGGATATCCGTCCATCTGCCTACCCCAGCGAATCTTCTTTATTTTAAACTAATTACCTTATAGGATATTATCTCTATAAGATATACAGGTATACATCACCTGGGAAAAAATATTTGCAACCTACCTTGGTTTCTCATTGCTGATTAAGATTTTTACTTTGTCAAGGGCCTTTTTGGCCCCTGTAGCAGCAGCCAGCTTGTTGTGAGAGGGACTGGAATGGGGACTAGAGATGTAAACTTTCTTCCCTGAGCTGGCAGGAGCTTTGGAAGGAGAGAAGTCAGAGATGAACACGATTCCTTCGCTGGTGAGCACTGCAGCAAGAAAAAAATGATAAAAGCAAAATTCAATCAGCAATTTGATTGTGACATTGCAGTTTAATGATATCTGAGTGGGGAGAAATGCTAATAACTTTAATAATACTCTATCAGGTGGAAAACTCTTCATTCTAGACAACCAGCACGTTCTACTGAAAAAGCAGCAGATGGCACATTACAATTAATTAATATCCACAAAACTCACCTTTCAAAATTAAGTTTATACTAAAAAACACTGAATTACTGGCAGAAACTCAGTTATTCTCTCCCATAAACTGTTTTTCTTAAGCCTCCCAGTGCAAATAGAAGAGTTGTGCACATTGGCTGTATCACTGTTTTTTGTTCTCAAAGAATTATTAACTCATTTATGCTGCAGCACAAAGTTTTGGCTCAGCTGTATCACTAAGATGGCCACAGAAGGCTGAATGTTATTGCAGATACACAAGGGCATCTTATTTCAGGAGATTCCACACCAGCCAAAGACTTCCCTGTCTTTGCTTTGAGACTTCTTCGTGGCATTTATGACATCATCCTCTCCAATCCACCACATTTAATCTCAATATTAACATTCCAGCTTAACCTTTTTCCTGGTCACACACAGCCAGGTCTCGCTGTTTCATGCAGATAAACTTACAAGCCAAGTGTGACGGATCAAAGGGGTCAAATGAGAAAGACAGGATATTTTCAGCATAGCTTTTCTTCCAAAGTTTGGTGCCTGTGTCTGCATTCCACAGTACAATATAGTTAGGGGGGTGAACTGCAAGCAGCAAATCTCTGGAAGCATCTTGATTCCACAACCACTGCATGTCTGTCAAAAGAAAAGAAGGAACATCAGGGAAATAATTTTTTTAAAAAAAAGTTGTTCTATTTTAAAACTACTCTTCTTCTGTGCCTTGTCTTTAATGGAACCACTGTGCTGTACAGAACCACTGCAGAGTCAAAATGGAAAGAACCATACACCATCCCAATTAATATCTGGGAAGTCACCACGAGCTGTAACACCACCTAAAACTAATATTTGAGATGGTATCAGTATTGGACCTGGAAACAAATGTCTTCACTTCAAACGCTTTTTAATCAGAGAGTCTTAAGTTCAAGACTAAAATGAATCTGACTGTAACACTCAGCCAAGAACACAAGTACAGTGCTAAATAACAGGGTCAGTCTGAAGGGGTGTGATGGCCCATCTTCAAAGCTGGCCATAATTTAAACATTCCAGATAAATGGACATAAAAGACTATGTTTTCTGTCAATAAGAACAGAGAGACACCCCAGTCCCTTGAAAGGAGCTGTATTAGAGCTCCCTGCATGCTCCTTGGGCAGTGGTTTAGACAACACAATGGGTCAGGCAGGCAGTGGGTGAAGTTCTTCTGTTTGATCAGTTCAGCCTTTTCCCAGCTGGTAAGTGCTTTTCCCTGGGTTTCACAGAAAAGAAACGAAAAAAAAACCAAAAAGCGGTCATGTGTGTCCAAATGTTACACTGGAAGTTAACAAAAGGTTGCCCAGAAGCTTGGAAAGCCTTCACTGGGTCTGAAAAAATGGACAAATCTCCAAATTTCTCCATCAAAACTCCACCAAATATTCAGTGAATTGGTGTCAGGAGTAAATAAAACCCAACTCATAATGCACACACAAACAAAAAGTAATAAAACTAACAAAATTAACTGCAGTCAATATAAAAAGCGTTCAGTGACTCACTAGTAGACTTAAAACATTATAGCTTCTTTCACAGGATTTATAAAATCAGAATAACAAAACCCAACCAACTTATTTTCATAAGTGGACTTTCATATAGTAAGAGTTTAAAAAACACACCAGGTACAATATAAACATCACCACAAGTTTTTGAAACAGCTGAAATGTTCAAGAAAACCTCCTTTCTCTGCTTACATTGCAAATGTACGTTATCATAGTAATATATCTGATCAGAAGTAGCTACATAATGAGCTATCTGGCAAAATATATGTGCCCAATGAAAACCTTTAATTTACACAAATGTAATGCTGTTGAAGCACTGCACCCCCTTGGATGGCAGCAGCACTCAGGTGCAATTCAAACCACACCACAATCCCAGCTGCAAAGCAGGAAGATGCAGCTGCCACTGTAAATGTTATTACTGCAATCCATAACATTCATAAAAAATAGATTCTAACTTTTTTGTCCCGGAAAACATTACCCTAATGAATCAAGTCTCACAGCATTCCTCTGGGAGCCAGTAAATCTTACACCTCCTCACAAAAAGAGCCAGCAAACACACAGAAGGCCGGCGACGCCAACAGCAGAAATCACTGCCAGAACTGAGCGTGGTGTATAAAACACAGGGGGTGGATTTGCACAAAAAATGCTCCCCCATCACCTTGGATTGGTTTTGAATGCTCCTGTATCTCACAGCGAGCCGTTCCCGTCGCCACATCCCACACGATGATCTTGCCGGTGGCATCGGCGGACGCCAAGCGCAGGGAGTACGGGGAGCCCGCGTTGTGGTGGTAATTTTCCTTGGCCCATTTGACCTGCACACACAGGGGGACACTGGTCAAAAGGAGACAAGCAGATATAACACAGACATCACACTGCACACCCTTCAGGTGGATAGGCAAAGAATAGTGAACTCAATGAAAAGCACTGTAATAGTTCGTGGCGACAGCACTTGTGTAAAATACCTTTAAGCTTCCATTGCTTGTGCAAACTTAAAGGCAGGTCCCCACTTTGCTGCATGACTGCATGGCTGATATTCTCAAATTACCTAAACAAACAAACCTTGTTCCTGAAGGTGACTACAGCAGCCCAAACATACGTGTTATGTACATAAAGAGTTCACTCAAATATTTACAGGAAACTAAGTGGCAATATTTAAGGTTCCGTGGGCATCCACAAACCTGTACCCACTGATTTCCAAACAACTGCAGGTGGAAAAATTATCATCCAGCTTTTATATACAGCCTAAAACATGTCATTTTTATAATCTGACCAATATAGATATATTATGGTACTGGGGGGAAGGAAGGTTAAGTCTTACATCTATTTGTTGTCCCATAACTAAATAATAAAATAAAGAAGCTACTATTGACAGTTGCTGACTCTTCAGTCCTTTTCAGCACACTGATCTCCACACACCACTTTCTGCTTTGGGATTTCAAGCTGCATGGGCCTGCAATACCTGTGAAAACTGTGTCTTGAAATCTGAAACATTTTGTCTACAAGTCTTCCCCAATTATAAGGGCATAGATAAGACTGATTTCTCCCTTTTCTTTTTAATATGGAGCTGTTTTGCTACCTGGTTTTAGGGTGAATTTCTGTCCCTAGGAGAGACTGAAGACACTGACAGAATAAAGAAACCTCAATGGGAATTTACCTGCTACAAAAATCCCACTACATCTACCTGTGTGCTGTCACCCCACCTAACAGAAAAAGGGGGAACAAACATAGAACTTTTCAAGTTATAAACTTTTCTACCTGAAACACGAAGAATTCTAGAGAGACTCTTCTCTACCTACAAATTTAATTTTTGCAGTTCCTGCTTCCCTGCTGTTCCAAAAAGAATCACCCATGAGGACATCTGCAATTACTGTAACTGTAAAAATCCACAAAGCTGTTTATTCCTCAGTTAAATACTTACTACTTCAAAGAAAATTCCAAGCCTGGAAGACATCATTTCTCAAGGGAGGAGTTGTCACCAAGTTATGAACAACTAAAAGGAGATCTTCACAACACAAATCTCTTTTCTCTCTGCTCCAACAAGGTCCAACACAGGACCTGACCCTCTGCTAAAAGGAATGATTTTCTTACGATATTAGTCACTGTCTGTCTACTCTGACTTCAAAATACAGCAGCAACAGTCAGAAACATGAACCAGAGACGATTTTTTTTAATGTTCACAATCTACCTCACCCCATTTATAAAGTCTTATTATCTCTGTTTATTAAAACATCAAAAAGGATACAAATGTAATGTCAGTCTTCCCATTCTAGTGCCAGATCAAAACTTTTCTTTGTAATTAGATTTTTCCTCTGTAGAAGCACACTTTCAAGTACTCTTCCTAAAGGTAAAATCAGATATAATCTACTCTGTACAAAGCCAGCAGTCTCCTACAAACACCTTTTGTACAGAGGGACAACTAACACAGATCAATTCTCAGTGAATCCATTACCTATTCCAGACTCAGCTATGACAGCCAAAGGCAAGGAAGTATTTAAAGAAAAACAGTAAAATGGACTGCAGAAGGATTAGGAACCAATTGTGGGTTTTTTCTTTGCTTTTTTAATTACAGATGTGTTGTGTTTTGAAATTTTTCAGCGCAGATTCTTGACAAAGAGTTTGTCAGATATACACTGTAGGCTTCTTTCAGATCCCCTCCAGCTTATTTACACTCTTAGCATTTATAAACTCTCAAAAAAAAAAAAAAATTAGGAATGGAAGAAAATTTGTTACGGGTGTAAAGGTATCTGCAGTGATCATGGCCTCATAACAATTTCTTACGTAATGCCTGTTTCTTAAAGTAGAAGGGAATTTCTTTCCATTCTTCCACCTTACAAGTAAATTAGCCACTTTCTTACACTCTCTTTCTGTTCATAAAGCTTCAGGCGGTGGGTTTGAAAAATTATCTTCTAAATTAATGGACTTCAGCATTTGGTTTCCTACTGACATGATGTTACTCCTCAAATACCCAACACACGTTAAGATGCTATCACTGCATGGATCAAAAAACTAACCGTGCTCCAATTTATTATCTAAGCTAAGTGCAAACTCAGCAAAGCAGAGTCATCATTATTGCTGACACCTCCAGGCCACTCAAGTTTTCTACTTTTTACACAATTATAGACATGGGAATTGATTTATTCACTTCACGTGGCAGCTGGAAGACAACAAACAAGTTGCCAAAAGGCAAGCACAGGTATTGCTGCCCAGAGTGCCACTGACTCTGTGCTTGTTATCATGTCCACACCTTTGCTCTCAAAAAATGACATAAAATATCTGTTTTGAACCCTAACCCTTTTAACTTCCTTTTTTTTTTTTTTCCTTTTTGCCTGTCAGTTAAAAATTCTCTCTAATCAAGCAAAACTAATTCCTGAACCTTCCAGTCATTTTTAAAAGCTACAATGTCATTATCTGTATGACTCTTGGCCAAGATCTTGTATGGACCTGTATCAGTTTTGCCCTACCCAATCGTTTCACTCAGGATTTGAGTAGTCCATTTATTATTGTTGTTATTGTTATTATTGCTGTTGTTATTATTGTTGTTATTATTGTCATTATTATTGTTATTATAAAGCTCACTTAACTGGACTCTGTAGCACAGAAATATACATTATACCACATAAAGATACATAAACAACACCAACTACTGAACATCCTGAAATGTCAAAGCCATTCACCAGAAAATTGAAGCTCTTCATTGTGCAGAAAGAAATCATCATAACATGATAACTCAGAAGTCAGTAAATTATCAAGCCTAAAGACAAAATAATTGTGTTTAATTTTTAAACAGCACTTGGGCCAAGGGCTATTAAACATTATACCTGCCAGCCAAACATTCCTCTAAACCCCAGCTGAATCTGTCATTGTCCACTATCAAAGAAATGATGCATCAAAGAAATACATCCTGTTCCACGCTTGACTTAAACTCCCAAGCCAAGGACCTTCAAAGGAAAGTACAGGTACCCTACACTTGAACTTAAATTTTAGCCAGTTTCTATCACTAAAATAAATGTTCAGTTTTGTCTGCTATTGTTCCTGTTCTCCAGGTAGGAACAGAAGGAAAAGCTTAAAAGTAACTTTCTAGACAAATGGTGCCCTTCCCCCCATAGGGAAGATCAGAAAGGGTTTCCTTTGATATTTTGTAATGTTCATTTGAAACTCTCTCATGTTAAAAAGATTTCCTAAAAACATTTCTGTGTTCTGCAACACTAACAGATTTTCTAGATATTCAATAACCTCTATGTATTCTATGAAGATATACCATCAACCCCAGCTCAAATTTCAGTATGTATGGTTTGACTCAGCTGCAACAGAGATCTTGTAAAATATGGGTATTTTACAACACATTTTATCTGAAAATCAAGTGCAGTACCATGTCAAGTATTTACAGCAATTTAGAAAAATAACATATACACCAGAATCAAGTAACACACCTTAAAACACGTACACCTCACCTTGACAACACTAGCTTTGTGTTTCTCCAGAACCTGCAAAGTCTGAGCAGTATTGGCATCCACTATCAGCACGAGGGAATGACATCCATACGCAATCAAGCCTTGCCAGCCCCTGGAAAAGCACATGTCATCATCAACAAGCAAAAAACAACAACAGGTCTGCACATCAAGAACAAGACTTTTTTCTTTTTTTTTGCTGAGTAGGATGTGTGCTACTAGACATAATATTTGATGTTTACCAGGTGGTAAATACTGTTTAATAACATAAAAGCACTATAAAATGCCATTGCATGTCTGCTGAACCACCTGCTGACAGAACCCTCAGCCACTACAAAGCATCTCTTGGTGCCCACCTGTAAAAATCCTCTTCTGGAAATTTAAGACACTGCACAGGAATTCACGGAGAGCATTCCCAAACTTTACACGTTAAGAACACAGGTAACAAATATATATTTCCACTATACAATCAATTGCATTTCCTTTATTTATTTGTTTATTTTGAGTAGCATGCATTTTCTACAGCAGTATGTAAACATTTAATACAGTAGCACATAAACATTTATTACTGTAGCATGTAAACATTTATTACAGTAACAGCGAAAATCCGCTGAGGCCTGTGTGACTTCAGAAGTTTATCACAGAATCACAGACTGGTTTGGGTGGGAAGGGACCCTGAAGACCACCTCGTTCTACCCCCTGCCACGGGCAGGGACACCTTCCACCAGCCCAGGTTGCTCCAAGCCCCCTCCAACCTGGCCTTGGGCACTTCCAGGGATCCAGGGGCAGCCACAGCTTCTCTGGGCAACCTGTGCCAGGGCCTCCCCACCCTCACAGGGAATATTTTCTTCCTAATATTTAATCTAAACCTCCTCTCTTACACTCCGAACCCGATCGCCGCTGCCGGCAGGGCCCGGGCCGTGCCCGCCCGTGGCTTTGTTCCCGCACAGCGCTGACAGCAGCAGCTCCTGCCCGCGGCCTCCGCCGGGACCCTCCGCCATCCCCGCTCCGCACAGGGGGCTGCCAGGACACCCCCGGTGCCGGGGTGCTCCCCGTGAGGGAGCAGTGCCAGGCACAGCGAAGAACCGGGACCCCCTCTCTCCCCGCCGCCCGGCCCTCACCAGTCGGCGGCGCCGCGGTTGGGCGCGCTGAGGGCGCCCGTCAGGGTCCGCGCCGGCAGCTTGATGTTGACGGTGAAGCGCTGCATGGCGAGCGAGCTCCCTCCCCCCCGGCAGCGCCCAGCCCGGCGGGGCTGCCCCAGCGCCGGCACCGCTGCCGAGCGGCCCCAGCCCCGGCACCGGCACCGCCCCGCAGGAAGCGCCGCCTCGGCTCCGCTCCGGCCTCCGCCGGGGCCCCGCGGCTCGGGAACCGCCGTTCCGGGGCCGCCCCGCCCCGGCCGGGGGTGCGGGGGTGTGCGGGGTGTGCGGGGTTACGGTCGGAAGGCACCACCGGAGATCAACCCCGTCCAACCCCCCCCCCCCCGGGCTCACCTGGGGCAGGTGACACAGGCAGACGGGCCTGTTGGAATGTCTCCCCAGAGGGAAATTCCACCGCCTCCCCGGGCAGCTGCTCCAGGGCTGCTCTGCCACCCTCGCCCCGAAGTTCTTCCTCGTGTTGAGGTGGAACTTCTCGTGTTGAGGTTTATGGTCGGTGCTCCTTGTCCTGTCGCAGGGCACCACCGAAAAGGAGCCTGGCACCGTCCTCTTGGCACCTGCCCTGGAGATACTTGTGTGCATTAACGAGATCCCCTCTCAGTCTTCTCTTCTCTAGACTAAACTCTCCTGCCATCTCTCCTCATAACAGAGATGCTCCAGACCTCTCATCATCTTCGTGGCCTCCGCTGGGCCCTCTCCAGCAGCTCCTTTTCTTTCTGGAACAGCCCAGAACTGGACGCAGCAGGGATGCCCCAGGACAGCCACCAGGACTGGGGACAGGGTGCTGTGTTTGTTGTCCATCACACGGATGGGAAGGGAAAGGGCTCCTTGGCCGAGCAGCTCCAGGGACAGCTGTGCCCCTGAGACACCCCAGTAGGAACAGAATTCCCCAACCCATCTCCAGGTGCTTGGACAGTGAAGGTTGTCCTCATTGCTGCTCACTGTGTTGCAGCACCACAAGGCACCAAGCCCTCCCTAAGCAGCCTGTCCTCCAGTTGTCCCCAGGCTGTCCCTAGTGCCAGGAAAAGCCAGCTGGGATAACACATCCCTGAGCAAGAATACTGGGCACTTGCACCGGGGCACACCAGGCTGCAGAGCATTGAGGTTTGACTCGATGATCTGAGTGTTTTTTTCCAACCTAATTGATTCTGTGAGGCTTCCAAAATAATTTTCAGTGCCACAGCATTAATAAGGTGACCAGGATCACGTAGCTCTTTAACATGCATGTACTCTTGGGGGTGTTTGTTTCTCTTCGAGACAATAATAATTGTTTACTTGTTATATTTGGTAGAGAAAAAGATGCCACTAGATGGCCAGAAACAGCAAGAATGTAATGCCAGCCACACGTTTTTAGAGTGCTGCAGTGTCACTTTGTCACTGAAGATTCAGTAATGCTGAGCCTCTTTTTCCCTCTTTTCATTCTGATCACAGCTGAATTTGTGCGAGTGGGAAACTCAAGAAACAACCTGCAGCTGACACCTTTTCCAGCTCTCTTCTAAAGCAAGCTGCTCTTGACACACAGTACATTGCTCAGTACCATTTTCGGGTCACTTTAACATGGGAACTAATTTCTTGAAACCATCTCATCCCAAAAGATCTCTCTTTACTCTTAACACTGAAAATTCACTGTTTGGAGCAGCAGTAAAGGGCTTTTTTTGTTCCCTTTTCTTTGTTATCATTTCAGGACAACCTGATCTACACCTCCAGAGATCAATTTTGTGAAAGCCTGAGCAGGCACTCTCTTCATTAATTTTACTTATTGTTTGCTAATTGTGTGGTTTTATTCTGTGTCCTTGGACAACCTGCTGCTGCTCATATTTTTGGAGATCTTGCTTTACTGGTTTTTTCTTTTTTTTTTTTT